GAAATTCGTGAATCGTCATCGAGAAACTCGGACGCATAAGAAAGAATTCGTTCTAATCATCGAAAAGGGGAAGAAAGGTAGGTAAAAACTCACGTTGGAATACTTGTAGAAAAGCTACGTGGTACAACCTAAACGAACACTAAGTCAAAGTCAGTAAAAAACATCGTAGAAGGTCGACAAAGGGGAACCGAAGAGGATCATAAAGCCATGCATGTAAAAAAACTGTTAGAATCGCCATCGCGCTTTGGCGCTCGGGGGATTGACAGATTATTAAGTTGTGTTTAATCATTTCAAAAGTGGGCCTTCTGAAAGCAAAAGGTGCTCACCTCTGCGTGTTAAGCACCCAACGACAGCCAGTGTAGAGAACACCGAACACCACTGAAGAAAATTCAGTTCAACAAGTCCAAGGCAAAAAAAGACGAAAAAAGTTCAGGACACATTTGCGATCACATATGCCAGCCAAATTTTTGAACCGGCGCATCAGCGACAATAAATATGGGCAAAAAAGCCCCATCATCGAATGAAAACGAAGAGGACCGGCAGAACTCACCTTTAAGCAGGGAACAGACAAAGACTCAACGCGCGTCACGATTTTTTTTTGGGCTTGTGACTCTGTTTGCTGTGACAACCTTTTCCCACACATCCTCATTTTCGATCCTCAACGTCAAGTATCCCCTGCTAAGTCCATCCACAAACTCTGTCTCATTGTCGTCCGGAAGTGTCTTGGATCCCTTATAACTGGAGAAACAGTGATTGGGAAGGTGGATTCATGGATTTCAGATCGGATGACGCTGGACAACTTAGTAACTCTAGTCTGCACGTGAACGCGATTTTTCCGACCGGTGCGCGTTCACCCTGACTTTCCGGCTTGAATAGACCTACCTCTCTTCACCGCACACCTTTGAAATACGAAGGAGACGTGTGGTTGTCGGAGAGGCAGGGATATTCGTGCCTTGCTACCGATGAAAGTCTGAGAGTTTGACACACCTTCACAGCCGTTAGCGATCCCTCCGCGCCTACCTCGATAACTTGCCCGCGAGACTCTGCTCCCCTCCAAACTATACGTGATAAAGGCGCTCTGGACGAAAACGCCCCGGACCTCGGCAACGGCTCTCCTCCACTCCCTCCACTCACTTCTCTACCCTCTAGCCGAAGTCCATCGTCTATAACTGAGGTTCAAATTTCCAACAAGAGGAAACGAGAGATTGAACGTGCCAAAGCTGCCAGCAAGAAGAACAGAACACGAAAGCGTCAAGAAAGTAAACCAACCAACGGCCCTACTACTGGCCAAGCCCATGCACGACGCAAGAAACATCTTCATACCCCTGAAGTACGGACCAGCTTCAGTCTCGAGACCAATACGTGCGTCACTTCTACTGCACTTCGAGATGGTCCCTGCCCAGAGATTACTCGGAGCTTGCAGGAGCTTGTTGGGCCGGATTCGAAGTATGGTATGGATCTTTTAGCATGGGATGGCCGGTACGTTATCACTCTACTTCCTATGATCTCTCATGGTGGCTGACCGTTGTTGATCTTTGACATAGAACTCCGACTCCCATTTTTTCTTCTGGCGCCGAAGGACGACTATGCGCTTTGCTGGTTGGTTCACCTGATGAAGAGAACTGGAGTTCTGTTAATGTTGATGCTACTGAGCTCTTGGAGGCACATCGCAGTAATATTTCGTCAAAGGAACATCGACGAGGCCAATTCATGTGCCGCGACGTCGGCGTGTTTCATGACACAGACACTGCCAAACCCTGCAATCTTGTTCATAACGAAAAGGAGACCCAAACTCTCGACACTCTCTGTCAGCACAAGATCTTCAAACGCCTATCTGGTTTTGCCAACAGTGAGTAACTTCACAGTAATTTGTCTGGACTATACTCAAGTGTTGACAAAAAACTCAAGGCATTTTTGATACGTGGGCACCTCGTCTTTACTCCTACTACTCTACCTGCCAAAAAAAGCTTCTAGAGTCCGACCCTTCACTCAAAACACCCTTCCCCAACAGTATCTGGTCCACAGCGACATTTGATTTCGGACCACAAACAGTCTGTTTTCCTCGCGTCGGCGATTCCAACCTGCCCTTCGAGTGGTGCGCCATTTGGGCTTTGGGCGACTATGATCCGAAGCAAAGTGCACATCTCATATTATGGGACTTGCGTCTTGTGATCGAGTTTCCTCCTGGCTCACTCGTGTTTGTTCCCTCCGGCATCCTTGTACGCTCCAACGTCTCTATTCGCCAGCATGAGAAACGTTATTCCTTCACTCAATATACTCCAGGTTCTCTTTTTCGTTGGGTTGATGACCAGGGTTGTCAGGAACAGACAGAGCATGGGGTTTCTCAAACTGATGCTCAAGTTCAGGAGGAGGAAGCCGAGAAGGCAAAGAAAAGATGGACGATGGGACTTGAGCTTTTACCCACATTCTCTGAGCTAAAACTTTCAAGTAGTAGTTGAAATGTGATAATACGTTTTCATTGTATTCATAAACAATTTGAGTCCTTTGAAGAGAGAACACCGAGTACTTACTTAAGTCTGGGTTTATTCAAGAAGACAGTTGGAAAAAAGGGACTCTCATTTCGAATAATTTCGTGGCGATATTTGGGCTAAGACCAACGCGCACGTCACGGTCAACGATTTCTTATGGGCTGATTTGTCTCTATTTGGCTTTTGTGGCAACCTTTTCCCACACATCCAAACACCAACGAAACCTTCCCAACAGTCGGTCAGATTTTCGATCCTCAACGTCAAGGTTAGTATCCCCTGCTAGTCCCTCCACAAATTCTGTCTTGTTGTCGTCTGGAAGTGTCTCGGATCCTTTACAAGCTGGAAATACATGGAGAAAAGAGTGATTGGGAAGGTGGATGGATGGGTTTTGGATTGGATGACGCTACCTGCCGCCCGCAAAAAAAAGACTTTGAAAGCTTACACCCCTCTTCACCTTCTTAGACTTTTGAAAAATGCCACCCGTTTCTCTAATACTGCAGCACCGTGGTCATGTCTCTGCCGGTCACGGACGAGTAGGGAAGCACCGCAAGCACCCAGGTGGTCGTGGTCTCGCTGGTGGTCAGCACCACCACAGGTGTGTCTTCCTTCCTTCCTTCCGTTTTTTCTTCCTCCAAACTCTTCTAAACCGTCATCTCCAGAACCAACTTCGATAAATACCATCCTGGTTACTTCGGTAAGGTTGGTATGCGCCAATTCCATCTCACCCGCAACAAATACTGGCGTCCCATCATCAACGTCGACAAGTTATGGACTCTCGTATCTGAAGAGGAGAAAAAGGGTTTGACTGAGGACTCGGAAGTCGTTCCTGTCATTGACACTTTGAGACATGGATATGGAAAAGTTTTGGGTAACGGAACGTAAGTCTGTAGTTGTTGGTCCCATTCTTATTCATTGGCAACAGTTTGCTAAAAGCTCGGTTTTTTCCCTAATCTCTTAGCCTTCCGAAACTCCCCTGTATTGTAAAAGCGCGATTCGTTTCCGAGATCGCAGAGTGCGTCCTTTCCTCCTTCATCCACCCAGCTAGATTATTAACGGGACCGTTCTCTCTCCTCAGGCGAAAAATCAAGGAAGCTGGTGGTGTTGTGAAGCTCATCGCATGAGGGAATTTGTTTTCATTTCTTCAACTTTTATTTTTAGTTACTTCTTTGTCTTCCTCCCATACGTATGGCCCCGCCCATGACATGATAAGCACATGCCCTCACCCTCATGCAAAAATATGGATGCTTTGTGTACCCGAAAGATGCATATATAGCTTCAGTCACCGACTGGTTGTAATCATTCTTGAGTGGCTTCTGGCTGGTGTCATGATGAGTCGAACGGGAGACTCATTGTTGTCGTCCCTAAGAGTCAATGTTTGTGTCGACATACTTACAGCCGTTCCTGTAAGTAATGGCAATCGTCACGCGCGGCATTTTGTGAATGTGTATAACATACTGTCATACAATGTAACCTTGTTACCGTATATAGAAGGTCACCTCAGTGTCAGAACCCTTCACGGAGCCACTCGACAATATGCACGCGATGAAATGTGACTCCATATGGTAGACACCTACAGGTTACACATTAAAAAAATTTCGGGTGTGTAGTGGATTGCCATTACTTACAGGAACAGCTGCAATGTGTGATCATTACAACATAAGTTCTGAAAGTAATGTAAGCTGAGACTGCTTAAGGCTGTTGCCAGTCACTGATCGTACAAAAAGGAAACGTCAAACAGCGCTGAGACCAATTCCATCACAGGGAATCGAACCCTGGGCTATCGCGCTCATCTGTGGCCAATCGGCTGCCGCTATACATGAGAGGCGATAATGTTAGCCACTACACCATGATGGAATACATCATTTAAGAAATTTCTACTCTTGACAGGCTCTTTTTATGTAATACTCCTATCCAAGATTGGCCATTTTAAGCTCAAATCAATTGAAATCTACTTTGTATGGAATGTGGGGTCATCCAAAATTATCGTTGCAAGATGTGCTCTATTGGGTGTAAGCCCTTTTTGAAAGAAGAAATCTTGAATAGACCGTATCTGCAACGGGAAATTTGACCATTTTTTGTTGGTTCAAAATGGTCTATTATCTACTAGGCTCCACCTGGTCCCAATATCTCCAAAATGTCGATAACTCACCACATGTCACACTCATGAGTCGTCAGTGTCGCCTCCCAGCGTGTTTATTGAAGGCTTATACCAGGAAATTGTTGGCTTGGGAGCAGTGGTTGAGATACTGGCAGATTGAAGATTAAAAAGGTCACAATGGTCCATCGCTATTGACAGACTCCTACTCGGAGTGACAGTGTCACAATTTTTTTTTTGCGTCTGGCTGACTTCGAACAAGCATTTTCTACTAGCCCCACTTCCATTTTTATGAGTGGAGCCTAGATATTTCCCGTTGCAGATACGGTCTAATGTAGGAAAATAAGTATAGGTTATTATGGGACAAGTAATGACCAGACATGGAGTTACCGCAACTGTTCTGGAGGAGGTGCCAGTCCTGCTCCTCTGTAGTAGGTCTAGACTGACTACACATAAAGCTGGTACCACCACACATATATATAAATATTCATATTTAGGGATTTATATACTTGACATAGTACACGGTGCGCATAGGTAAGAGAGGGAGGGAGGGAAGAGAAAAAGGAAGTTCAAAGTGAAATTGTCAAGCGAGGAGAAACGACGAAAAATGATAAAAGCCGTATCAGTGAGAAACAAACAGCACTCACCATCGCTCGGATTCAGAAAAGAAAAGCGCTATGTCAAAACTCGAAATGACAATCTGGGGAGAGGGAAAGAAGAGGATGAAAGAAAAAGCTCGGCGAGTCACAGGCAAGAACGTCGAGAAGCTGAGGAAAAATGGACGAACACAGAGGCAAGGCAAGGCGAAGGCTGCATATATAATGTTAAATCGGTAAGAGACAAAGGGAAGAGGGATGGTGGCAGTAACGAGTAACGTATGTATGTATATAGTAAAAGTACAAGCAAGACAAGACTAGGTAGAGTGAAAACAGGAATAGAAAAAAGTAAAAGAGACAAAAACATATTCGAGACAGAGACAGAGACAGAAGACACACAAAGTCCTCTTTTGTACATCCAAAACTTTAGTATTCCCCTTTTTTCGAATAAATAGTCCACACCATCAACCTTCCGTCTCATCTTACCATCCTCCCCTTCAACCTACACATGTACTCATTATCTCTTACAACTGACTCTCCAAATCCCTCGGCTCGTTCCCATTCCCATTCGAACTCTTACTCCTTCCAGTCAATCCCTTCAAAAACCCAGGTCTACCAAACCTCCCTCCTCCTGTAGAACCACTAGCACCAGAGGTCTCCTCTCCTGCACCATTACCATCACCGGCCGCCGTCGCCGCCGTGGTAGCAGTAGCATTCGCAACAGCATTGACATCATGGCTCGAGCTATTATTAACACTAACAGCACCTTGCCCAGCAGCACCTACACCAGGGACATTCGTCGTAACCGGTAACGGCAGTCCTCCTCCTGATTCACTTGCGTTCGTGTTTTCACCAGCAGTCCTGCTAGCGGAAGGTATCGGATCAGCTTGGGTCACATCGGCTTCTTCCCCATCTAATCCATCTACATCCGCATCGACATCAGGATCAGAATCTCCGTGTTCCTCTCCTTCCCGGTCTTGCTCGTTACTCGACTTGCCAGGTGCACCAGTGGCAGAAGTGGCCACAGGTGGAGGGTTGGTGGTGATACGTAGGAGGGAGGTGTATGCTGGAAAGAGAGGAGGAAAGAGAGGGAAGGTTAGTTGGTTTGACGTGAGAGAAAAACACAGGGAAAAAGGAAATCTAATATGTATAAAGAAGCCAAAAGCGAAGCAGGAAGAAAAACCTTCCGCTAAAGAGACCAAAAAAAACTCACGTTGTCTACAAACAGGACAAAACCATCCTTTCGCCTTTCTCTTTCTCCTCGCATTCACATTCTGCAACGGCGCGACCGTAGTAGTCGTTCCCGTCCCTGCTTCTCCTGTACCTGTGCCACCTACTCCAGTACCACCTGCACCTCCCACTCCATTGCCAGCAGCAGCACCTCCAGTAGTAGTTGTGTCCCCTTCGCCCTGAGTAATCGTCCCTCCAGCACCAAATTCCACCATGTTCAATGCACAATCTTTACACGCCACCAAATGTCTACAGGGTAACAACACCACTTCCCTTGGCGACGAAAGACACAGTAAGCATTCTGAAGGTGTATCCCCTGATTCGTGATCTTCTCCTGCTGCTTGACCTTGGTCGGGTAAAGGTGGGTAAGTATGTTGAGAAGGAAGAGGAGCAGTCGGTGCATGGGTGTTTGAGGAGGTGCTCGAGGAGGTGAGACCGTAGATTTCGTGTAGGTGGAAAGTGTGTGGGCCGATCTGGATAGAAGATGATTAGTTTAATTAGAGAGAGTTGTAAACTAAAAAAAAAAACAATAAAAGAACAGGTACTCACCGTAGCCTCTCTCTTAACAACCTTAACAACCCAAGGCCTCGTATCCTCTTCCTCTTCCTCTTCCTTCTCCTCCGCCTTACTAGCCCCTGCCCCTGTCCCTGCCGTTCCTTCAGCCGCTTCATTCCCACCTGCTTCTCCTTCTTTCTGTCCTGTCGAATCTGACGCAGTCACCTTCGGAGCTTTGACTCCAAACCTCTCGATACACAAATACGTCACTTGCTCATTCGGACTTGCCAATTCCGTCCCTTGCTCATCTAAAGCGGCCAATCGTATAGTCACTCTCACTCCATTGTTCAAATCCTCCGCCTTCTTGTCCTTGTCCTTGTCCTTGTCTTTCCCATCGTTGTTTCCGTTGACGTTGGTAGCGGTGACGGAAGGGTCATTGGGAGACGCAGACGAAGCATCGACAACAGCCAAAGCGGGACCAGAGACGGACATATTGTGATGGTTATGACGACGGAAGAAATGAGTCAAACGACGACGAGCGTGGCGTGAATTGTTGTTAGCGGTATTGCTGTTACTGTTGACAGTGCTGTTCGTCGTCCCGTTCATAGCGATGTTACTGTTACTGTCGCTAGTAACACCTTCAGCAATCACGTTCGAGTTGGAAGACGAGGAAGAAGCGAGGTTGGGTTTAGTCTTGGCTATAGCTTTCGCACCATCGAACCTGCCCAGTTCGAGGACGGCACCTTCTTCAATTTTGAGGACTTTACCGAAACCTCCCTCGACGACAGATTCGAATACTAGGAGTTTGGCGAGTCTGGGTTTAGCGGTAGTGCCAGAGGTCATGTTGTTGTCTGAGAGAGGTGAAGCGGAATCCGGGGGAACGCCGACGTCAGCCCCCGATGTCGCGGAAGTGACACCGAGAGTACCAGTAGCAGTAGCAGCGGTAGAAGCTGGTGCATCAGGGTGGCTAGGAGGTAATAGAACATGGACATATATTCCACATTTGGGAGCGTCACAATCGTATTCAAACTCGAGACCGTGTTGTTGAGCATGATGTGAATCAGGGTCGTCGTCATTTGATGAGGAAGTGAGAGGAGAAAGTCGAATAGTGGGTCGCTTAAGATTGACAAGGGCTTGGAGCGTTGTTGTTGGTTGAGATGGCTGTAATGAAAAAAAGCGTTGAGGATGACCTCCAAGTTGAGAGGGAAGATTTGAGATATAGAGAGAAAACAGACCTCTTTGCTCTTCTCAATCCAATTCTTGACGACATCTACCGTCAGCTCATCCTTGAGAACCTTTTTCTCCGTCTGAGCAGTCCATGCCGGACCACTGCTGATAACACCGACATTTGGACCAAAAAGGGAGTCTGGCCCCTTCTTATCCTTCCCGTTATTGTTACCATTGGTGTTGTTGTTGTTATTGACGACCCCAAGGCCGTGGATGTTGTCTGTAGAAGGTTGGGCCATCGCTCTTGCCTGACGAGAAGCGTTCGTTTCTGTGCGGGCGAGATAGGGAGTAGCCTGAATTCGTCTAGTGCGGTTCCAAGTCGAGTATTGAGACGAATCTAAGGAAGAAGAAGAGGAAGAGTTAGAGAAAAATTGGATATAGTCGGTAAATGGACGGAGGATGGAATGTTCGCTTACACCAAGTGGCCCAACTCATTTGAATGACAAATGCTGCGGGGTTCGCCAACCGTTCTTTATCCCACCCACTATTTTTGCTCAATCCCACGATCCATGACACTCTATTCGGGCCATGTCTATATCTACCACCAATCCTTTCTGCTCTCCTCCTTCTCCCTTCGAGTCGACCTCAATGTCGACAGACTCAGCACTCCTAATTGGCATCCACAAAATCACAAGAAACCGCACGCCGGACGTCCGGAAAGCTGTAGCGTCTTGTCATATGCATAACAAAAGCCCTTCCGTTGGGACTCCACAGCTCTTCACAGCATCATTGTCAAATTTATCTCTCCGGCTCATCGTCGTTTCTCATTACCCACTACAAAACCCACGTTTTCGAGGAGCGCGTTAGCATCCGCGCATCCTCTTTCCAGAGGAAGAGTCGTTGATCTTTGCAGTGTAATTTTGAATAATCAAGCTTAACATCTATCACCAGTGCGTCAGGGGAGGCACCGTTTTCGACACACAAGCGCGCAAGGTTTTAATGCTGTTGGGATACGGCAAAAGCACGTAATCGTACTTACAACAAAAATCAAAATCAAACAAGTCCTATGTAATTAAGGCCCTCCTATCACCAAAGTATTCTCCATACGACCTGTGTAACCTACGTGCGTATTAAACTTTCTTAAGCTTCCTACGAGAACCAGAAACAACTGTCTAGAAAAAGATGGACAATGGACAGCGGCTGATCATCATGAATTTGATACCTACTGAGCTAGGAACGTTCTATTCAACCCCCTAAGCTTCCTTTGAACT